AATTTTTTTAGAAGGAGTTTTGGCCCCAAATTTGGTACACGTGATCCTTCTATTTTTTTTGGCATGCACAAAAATATTCAGCTAAAAACTCGAAGTGGAGAAGATTTCGCTGACGTTTGAAAAAAGTGTCCCCGTTTCAGACACTTCAAACGGCTACTGGCAGCAAACCTGTAAAATCTCAAACGCTCTTTAAGGGGGTGTGAGTTCTCAGAGGTTTGATGAGGGATAGGGGGGCCAACACAAGGGCCAAGTACCAGCACCCATCGCACGTCATGTGCGCACACCCCCCGGCCCCCTCCAATCGCCGGAACCCCAATGCCGCCGGTCAGGTTCTCCGGCGGTACTCCGGCGATGCTCCGGCGATGCTGACCCGAGTGAAAAAAAAGCGGCACCAGCACATGCTGGAGCCAAGCATGGGCACCGTGGCTCAAAATCGAACTTCGGCCAAGGCCTCGACCATCAATGGCACATGATGACGCATGGTGATGGCACATGCATCGACCATCATCGGCACAGGCTGCCCTTCGGTACGGGCACTTGCCTCAACCACCATTGGCACCAGCTGGGCCCTGGTGTGAGTTTTTACCGTGATCACCATCGGCACAAACTGAGCCTTGGTGAGGGCAGTTGCCTCGACCACCATCGGCACACCCTGGGCCCTGGTGCGAGCGGTTGCCCCAATAACCATCAGCACACGCTGAGCCCTGGTGCGGGCGGTTGCCTCAAGCACCATCCGCACACGCTGGGCCCTATTATGGCGCTTGCCTCGACCACCATCGACACACACTCGACCCTGGTGCGGGCACTTGCCTCGACCACTATTGGCACACGCTCGGCCCTGGTGCGGGCACTTGCCTCGATCACTATCGGCACACGCTAGGCCCTGGTGCGGGCGCTTGCCTTGACCACCATTGACACACACTGGGCCCTAGTACGGGCGGTTGCCTCGACCACCATCGGCATAGGCTGGGCCCTGGTGCGGGCACTTGCCTCGACCACCATCGACACACACTGGGCCTGGTGCCGGCGGTTGCCACGATCACCATCGGCACACACTGGGCCCTGTTACGGACGGTTGCCTCGAGCACCATCGGCACATGCTCGACCCTGGTACGGGCCCTTGCCTCGACCACCATCGGCACACGCTCGACCATGGTGTGGGCGCTTACCTCGACCACCATCGGCACACGCTGGGCCCTGGTGTGGACGGTTACTGCGATCACCATCGACACATGCTGGGCCCTAGTACGGGCGGTTGCCCCTAGCACCATTGGCACACGCTGGGCCCTGGTGCGGGCGGTTACCTCGATCACCATCGACACACGTTGGGCCCTGGTGAGGCCAGTTGCCTCGACCACCATCGGCACACGCTAGGCCCTGGTGCGGGCGGTTACCTCGACAACCATCTGGCACACGCTGGGCCCTAGTGCGGGCGGTTGCCTCGACCACTATCGACACACGCTGGACCCTGGTATGAGTGGTTGCCCCGAACACCATCGGCAAACGCTGGCCCCTGGTACGGGTGGTTGCCTCGATCACCATCGACACAAGTCGACCCTTGGTACGGGCTCTTGCCTCGACCACCATCGGCACACGCTGGGCCCTGGTGCAGATAGTTGCCTCGACCACCATCGACACACGTTGGGCCCTGGTGTGGGGGGTTGCCTCGACCACCATCGACAAACGCTCGACCCTGGTGCGGGCGCTTGCCTCGATCACCATCGCCACACGCTGGACCCTGGTGCGGGCACTTGCCTCAACCACCATCGGCACACGCTGGGCCTGGTGCGGGCGGTTGCCGTGATCACCATCGGCACACACTGGGCCCTGGTCCGGACGGTTGCCCCCAGCACCATTGACACACGTTGGGCCCTAGTGCGGGCGGTTGCCTCACCACCATCGGCACACGCTAGGCCCTGGTACGGGCGGTTGCCTTAAGCACCATCGGCACACGCTGGGCCCTGTTGCGGGCGGTTGCCTCGAGCACCGTTGGCACACGCTCGACCCTGGTGCGAGCTCCTACCTCGACCACCATCGGCCACACGCTGGGCCCTGGTGCGGGCGGTTGCCTCGAACACCATCGGCACACGCCGGCCCTTGGTGCGGCCGGTTGCCTCGACCACCATCGGCACACGCTCGGCCTTGGTGAGGGCGCTTGCCTCGACCACCATCGGCACACGCTGGGCCCTGGTGCGGGCGCTTGCCTCGACCACCATCGGCACACGCTCGGCCTTGGGTGCGGGCGCTTGCCTCGACCACCATCGGCACACGCTGGGCCCTGGTGCGGGCGGTTGCCTCGACCACCATCGGCACACGCTCGGCCTTGGTGAGGGCGCTTGCCTCGACCACCATCGGCACACGCTGGCCCTGGTGCGGGCGCTTGCCTCGACCACCATCGGCACACGCTGGCCCTTGGTGCGGGCGGTTGCCTCGACCACCATCGGCACACGCTGGGCCCTGGTGCGGGCGGTTGCCTCGCTGGGCCCTGGTGCGGGCGGTTGCCTCGAACACCATCGGCACAAGCCGGCCCTTGGTGCGGGCGGTTGCCTCGAGCACCATCGGCACACGCTGGGCCCTGGTGCGGGCGGTTGCCTCGACCACCATCGGCACACGCTGGGCCCTGGTGCGGACGGTTGCCTCGAGCACCATGGGCACACGCTGGCCCTTGGTGCGGGCTCTTGCCTCGACCACCATCAGCAGAAGATGGCCCCTACGTCGAACACCATCGATACATGCCGGGCCTTGGTGTGGGCACATGCCTCGAGCTGGTGCGGGCGGTTGCCTCGACCACCATCGGCTCACGTTGGCCCTTGTTGCGGGCACATGCCTCGACCACCATCGGCACCTGCGCACCCTCGGTGTGGGATTTGCTTGTTTGGAAAAAGTGTCCCCGTTTCAGACATTTTAACGTCTACTGGTAGCATATCTGTAAAATCTCTAATGCTCTTTAGGGGGTGGTGGTCCGGCACCCCCTCTCCCCCCCCCACGGGGGGAGTAGGTGTGCGCGATGGGCCTCCCATTGCGTGCACCCCGGCCAACGTCCCTCGAACGAAATACAGGGCGTGCATGCCTTCCGGCGATTTTTGTCCGGCGACTGGTTGCTCCGGTGACCGGCAGGCGCCCATGGCCTCGATCGGTTGGCTTGCATGCAAAAAAAGGGAGCCGAGCTCCAGCCCGTGCACGCGGCGGATGCTGCCCTAGACCCCAGACCAAGTCCCTGAATCGGGCAACGGCTCCCTGGGGTGGTGCGAGCAGAAGCTGCGGTTGCGGGC